TCAACTCTGAGTTCTTGAACAAGATCCTAAGTGAAAAGTAAACTATTCTGAAACTGGGACCTTAAAATAGGTTTGCCTTCTTACAAATACGAGGCTTAGATTCTAGGAAATAAGTCATAAACTGCATATAAGAACTCATACAAATGTTGAAGCAAAAGTAAGACTATCCAAGATGAGATGGATTACAGCATTCTGGATAAGGCACAGCAATGGCAAGCTCTAGACAACACCCAAGGAGTAAACCTGGATAAAACATTTCAAGAATATAAACGAAGATGAAAATTAAAAAAAAAAAGAAAGAAAATAGAAGAGTCTCTCTCCTTCCCTAAAAGGGTAAACCTAGCTGACTTAAAAACACTGAGATGAGTTTGAAGAAAATATTCCTAAAGTTGAAGAACAACTCAACATATTTGAAAACATTTCAAAGAACTTCCATTTTTAGCACCTGATATACTGCAAACTGCCCGGAAAGAGGGACGTTGTAAGTTTTATATTCTACTGTGCCATATACATGGTAGGTATGAACAAATATCTACTGAATAGGGAATGAATAAATGGACAAAAGATTATTAAATTAAAACACAAGTAAATAAACAACCAGATAATGTCAGTTCATGATTTCTTCTTTGCAATGTGAAAGAGAAGCACTTTGAGTTACCTAGAACAGCAAAACTGGAAACACAAAGCCTTTTCATTCCCTCTATCCTGATGCCCTTCGTCTCATCCAAGCTTGATTTATCTCCTTGGGCTCTTGAGATCCTAATCTTCCAGGAGTCCTCCTCTACCCTACCCTCCCTTTTCCCCTTGAGGGACAGCTTCCCCTTCTCGGTGCTCAGGTGATACCACGTGCTTATCTCTCTCATCACACCAGTTACACTGAGTTGCAATCATCTCTTAATATTTCTGTAAGCTCCTCCTGGAGGGTAAGGACTATTTGCCCTCCTCCCTACTCCTAGAACCTAGCAGAATGTTGGTACATAGCAGGCAGGCAATTAAATGCTAATGGGGTTGAACAGAATTTGTTTTCTCTGCCCTTGAATAATTTCTCCTTCCAATGTGCCAGGAATATTCTTCTGGTAAGGCAGAATTTCAGAAAGAAAACTTCAAGGAAAATCACTTAAATACAGAGAAATAAAGATGAGGATACCAGATTAACATGAAATCAAATCTATTTCATTGTTTTGACGTTTAAGAAATGAATAAAAAGGGCCTCCCTGTGGCGCAGGGGTTAAGGCACAGCACTGTGAAGCTATCCACAGTCACTGCAGCACAAGATAATCCCCGGCCAGGGAGCTGACCCACATGGTTCTGCAGACCTCTCCTGTCTCGCCCGCTGCTCCCCTCAGCAGTGTGTCTCAGTCAATCCGCCTGTTCTGTTTCCCACTCTGTCTCTGGTGATCCTCTCACCCTCTGCACCTGTCCTGTACCCCAGTTCTTGTGTGTATAAATAAATAAATCTTAAAAAAGGAAATGAATAAAGAGAAACTTGCTGAAAATTAATGGTTCAAAGTCGCAGTCCCTGTATAGTGACTCCTAATCCTTAACAATCATGGCATGCACCAGGATGATCAGCATGAACAAAATTTCCTTTAAGAGTTACAATCTTGGAAATCCACCCTGAAGAGCAGCCCACAACCAGGTGCTACTAGTGAAACTTAGAGGAAGAGGTTAGTTTTGCAATCATTTTTCCTTATCTCCATTTAACTATAACAAACACCACCTGATCTACCTTACGAAGGCTGATACATGTTTGTTCTAGCACTGTACTAAAGAGTCTGCCCTATCATTATATTACTTTAAAAAACAGCACCACAACAATGAATTAAATTATAACCTAAATCCATGCAAGCAGCAAAATAATCCTTTCATTTCTGAAAGTAATTGGAATTTTACATGAACTTCAAGTTTAAAGTTTCTAGAGCACTGATTGGATGATAGAAGCTAACATCAAAGCATTAAGGCAATTTTCTTTACCACATCCCGGTAAGTCAATATATAACATGTAGGGTAAGGTAAAAAGTATCAGGCTTTTCTGCCCTCCCGCCATTAGGTTAGATGACAGAACCCTGCGGTCCTGAATGCATGCCTGATGGCGGGGCACCTGGGCATATGTGGACAGGATTCATATGCCCTGGTCTAAGACTGGGCTTTAAGGGCGGCATCACAGGGACGCCAGCAGAAGCAGAACGAAAGAAGAACCACGAGAGAAGCAGAGAAGAGAGAGAAAGAGAACCACGAGAAGCATCGAATGAAGACTTGCTGGGGACAGGGAGGCCTGCTAGCCTCCCGGCCCCCCAGTACCCCTGCCTGCTGTGTACCTGGTAAATCCTAATAAAAGCCTGCAAAAGCCACCGAGGGCTCCAGGACTCTCTCCTCCTTTACCCCGTCTGCATAGAATCATAGAAAGCCTACACTGTGGCCCTTCCTGTCCCTACAAACAACAATATTACTTTGAAATCATTTTAACCAGATGGAAAGGGAATTTAAATAAAATCACATCAACACTCCTCTCCCTAAAAAACATGTATCCCTCTAAGAAATAAAGTATACTGGGCCTCCCTGGTGGTGCAAGGAGTTAAGACGCAGCACTATGAGGCTGTCCGCAGCCAATGCAGCATGAGTTCAATCCCTGGCCAGGGAGCTAACCCACATGGCACAGCAGACCTCTCCTGTCTTGCCTGCTGCTCCCCTCAGCAGTATGTTTCAGTCAATCCACCTGTTCTGTTCCCCATTCTGTCTCTGGTGAATCCTCTCACCCCTGGCACCTCTGGCCTGTACCCCAGTTCTTGTATGCATAAATAAATCTTTAAAAAAAAAAAAAAAAAGAAAAAGTATACTAACCTTGGATTCCTTCTATTTAACTTATTGATTAAAGATGCCAACCCCAGTACAAAGGACAACTGCTGGGAGGATCACTCATTCAAATTGTTTACAAAAGACAGTAAAAAGCCAAGCTAACCTCCTTTAATTATCCATCTCCTTGGTAGCCCAGCATCTCCAGATCCAAGCAATTGGAAGACTTAGCCAAACCAGCTCCACCTTTCGCATGTAACTGAAAAGCCAACCATCCCCACCTGTGCCAGGTATTGGGGCGTGAGCCCAAACCTATAGAGCTGATGAAAGCCTCTCCCAGATGGATACCACAGTGACTATATCTTAGATAAAATGAGCCAGATACCCTAACTTTAGCCATTAAAAAAAGTAGTGACCAGCAAGAAGGTTCTTAAAGAAATGTTAGTCTATATAGTACTAAGCAAACCACTTCTATTGGAGAATAAACTTAATGAAGAATTTTCAGGCAGGGATGTGTTAGTCATTGCTATAGTACCTGGGGCGCTATCCCCTCCCCAATATCACCTCCTTCCCCATCCTTTACAGGGGCATGAACCCCATTTCTAAACTAATTCATTTCTGTGCTAGAAATATTCAACTGCTATGGGTAAATACCATGTGTAACATAAACAGGGTCAAGAACCCCATTTCTAAACTAATTCATTTCTGTGCTAGAAATATTCAACTGCTATGGGTAAATACCATGTGTAACATAAACAGGGTCAAGAATGCCAGTTGCCAGAAGAGCTATGTTTAAATTAGCATTAGCTAGCAAGACTTTTCCTAAACAAAGCAGAACAAAATGCTTTTTTGGTCAGTTCTGTGTCTGGAGAATGATTTGAACTCAAATGCTCAAAAAGGCTCACAAGGTCCAGATACAGCACAATAGCACTAATTTTTTACTAAATTACATTTTATAAAAATACAAAGAGTATTATCAATGTGATATGGAGAAGAAACTGTATGTTCTTTTATTCTGTAGCTTTTCAATAATCTGGATCAGCTGGCAGCAGAGCCCTAAAACTCACTAGCTAAGAGTTACCATGGAATAAGGATAAAAGCCCAGTCATCTCTCAATCACTTCATCCCTCACTATGTGTTACTCAGTGTCTTCTTCCTACATTTGAGGGCTAAATAATACTTCTCCCTCCCCCATCCCCCATAGCAGAATTTCCTTAAAATAACATCTAGGGTGCCCCAGAATCTATTGCCTTATCTGTCTCCAGACTTTGCTACCCAGAACTCCAACTACATCTCCATCTTTTAAGAAAAACATCATATTCATCCTCCAAGTATAGTGTGTGAAGTCTTCCCCAGAGTCAGAATTTAATTTTCCATTCCCAGGCATATCCAGGTCCTCAGACTCTTCAGCTGCAGGGAGGTATGCAATCTGGCAGTTACACATTGAAGTTGGCTGCATCTTTTCCCTCTGCATTACAGCTCTTTCCAGGTGCTCCGTTTTAACATCCTCTACCTGCTACTATAGAAGGAATTCAGTCACTGCTTATTGAACTTATATTCCTCCTTTTCTTCCAACTTTCTAAAACATCTATTAATAGTTCCCAATAAGACAGTTAAGCAATAATGCCAAAGGGTCTTTTGGGGTAACATGATATGAAAAAATAAGAAACCAAATAGCAGGATGCTGTGTTATCAAGGCCAAAACTGACTTTCAGATTTTAAACCAAGAGCATAATTAGGTTCATGTTTTTATTACATCACAATTCACTTTTAAAATAAGTCATGTCCCTCCCTCAGGTGTATATGCACACTGATATCAAAAAGAAAAATTCATGCAAAGACAGGTCCCCCATCAAGCACAGACTATATCTTGACCTCAAACTACATTTCGGCTTTCCTTACTTGCTGAGCACTTGAAAATGATACAGCATATCTATCCAGAGTGCAACATTCCTTACTAAGAATTTGAAAAAGATTCTTGGCCCTAAGAATCACTAATTTCAGATTGAACGCCATGATGTATCAAAAAGACTTAGCAAGTAAGAATTCTGCTTTCTCTGCACTTCCAATAGGTCTAACAGAACAGTCAGTAAAACCTCAAAAAGTCTATGCTGTCACTTTTTAATCAACTAACTTATGGGGAAATATTAGCTTCAAATAAAAATGGAAATTTCGAAACGCAAGTTGTTGAAAGGGCAGCCACTTACATTCTCACCTCTGCTGTTTCCCATCCTTCACAGGAACACAGATGGGCTGAGTGCCCACAGCACTGAGCAGGAGCCGCTCCCCAGGGACAGGATGCAAACGGGAAGTTGTCAGGTCGGTAGAGGAATCGCCTTGACTTCATCTCAACTTTAAGGCTAAGCAGGCTCACTCATCCACTTTAAATAATAAGGGTAATGGAAGACTGAGTGGGCCTTGGCAATGTGGAAGAGGGGCGTGAAGGGGCGTGAAGCCACTAAGTATTATTGATGCCACAGGGCATCAATAAAAAACGGAGGGGAAAATGGAGGAAAGTTAACTCCCAGTTCAAGGCTCTTCCCCCTTCAGGCATCTCCCACTGCTAGTTTCCTTCCAGCCCTCTAGGCCTCTCACTCCCCTCGGTTATAACCTTCACACTTCCCTTTATTCCCGTCTTACAGTTCCAACATGGGATAACCATCCACCCACCAGTTCCAGTTATTTTGGGAGCTGGAAGGATCAGCAAAGATCTTTAACCCCTCCCTTCTCCAGAGGAGAACAGGAGAAGAAGAGGAAGGAGGACCAGCTGACCCGACAGGCTAAGGTCACACCACTAGGGGATGAGTGTGCCAGAGGGCTCTGGATTGTGACAGCCAAGCCCTCCTGTCTGGCTCCTCAACCATGCCTTCCAGCTATACACTACCTCTTTCTCTTGCTACTTGGCTTCTTTGCCCTCAAATTAAATGGTATCAAGAAAATGCAGCCTTAACATACTTACATTCACAATTTCGGTTTGGGGGCAAATATGCTCATTTCTACCTGGAATTGGAGAAACAAGGGCAGAAATAACTAGATGGCATTCTGTGTGTTTTAATGCCACTTAGTTCAGTTCAAACAGCCATAACTCCAGTATGGAGCTTTTTTTTCCTTTTTTCTTCTACTGTACTATTTTTTCCTTTTTCCTTTTTTTCCTTCTACTGTACTATTTGACAAGGAAATAGTTTCTTATAAGAACTTAGTTTTCCCAGCAGTTTCCCTTTTGCCAGAATTGCAGCATCACAGACCTCTAGCTTCTTTTTTCCTTCTACTGTACTATTTGACAAGGAAATAGTTTCTTATAAGAACTTAGTTTTCCCAGCAGTTTCCCTTTTGCCAGAATTGCTGTATCACAGACATCTAGCTTCAGTTATGCTTTTAGATTGACAAACTACACTTATGCAGATAGACGGAAAAAACAGACTGGTGAAGCCTGAAGGAATAGAGGATTTTGCTCTAATAACTGCAGTTGCCATGTTTCCAAACATTCATGTTTGCAAAGATGTATCCATTACAATAGGAAACACGCGTTCATAGCGAAACTTTAACGAGCACTCACTGGAAAACCACAATTATGAAAAAATCATACATTTCAACAAAAAGGAAAGAAAAAGGAGCAGCAAAAAGCAACAAACTCAGGCCCCAGACTAAAGGCAGCAACAAGTCCTGCTTGCCATCATTCTTACACATCAAAGGCCAAATGGCAGCAAAGAGAAACAAGAATAAAGTTTAAATGCATTCACAACAAAGTAGACCTACACAAACCCAAAGGAGCCGGTGGATTTCAACAGCAACTCAAAGCCAGGTCCCTCTTGCCTTGGTTTTCCCACTTACTCACTAAGCGTGTTTGTTCGGCTGCTGGACAGAAACTTAAGTTTAAAGTCCTCATCCCGGGAGAGACTCCAGAGTCGTCGGTGAGTAGCAAGCAGTGCGGGCGGCGCTGGCGCGGGCAGGGGCGCAGGGGTGGTCCACGGCCACGAGACGTGGCTTCGCGTGAATTTCGATGACCCCGGCACGCCTCCCAATGCCTCCACCCCGACCCAGGTAACTGGAGGCCACCTACGTGTCACTTGGGCGGGACTCGGCCGTGGACACTGCGCCCAGCGCGGGCCCCGGGGCGCACTGACCTGGTTGGGGACTGGAGGGCCGGTGGCCAGGCAGCAGCGGCAACTTCCCTCCCGGGGTTCGCTCCACTGCGTGGTAAGAAAGGCCAGGGGAGTCTCGCCTCCTGCAGGCCGGCTCGCACACGCACGCCCACCCACACCCGACACAGGCGAGTGCGCGCGCGCCTGCGCGGGCACACACACAGCACACGCACACCCTCCAAGGCGGCCGGCCCCCCGACAGTGCGATCTGAGCGCGCCGTTTGGCAGCGAAGGCGACGCCTGCACTACAGGCTCGCGACCCAAGGGCGCCGGGCCCCAGGCCCGCGTCGCGCCAGTCCCTTTACCTGCGTGCAGCCGCCCGCGTCCGGCTCCAGCCGACCCGGGACTGGCCTCCGGCTGCGCTGTCAGCCCCCGCGGCCCCCGCCCCGCGGCCCGCCGAGCCCGGCCCTCCGCCCGCCCCTCGGCCGTAGCCCGGAGCGGGGCCGCCCCCTGCGCCCACCCCGCCGGGGTCCCGCACACGGCTGGGAGGCAGGGAGGGCTCCGCGGAGCCGGGCCCCAGAATGCCCCAGATCGGGACTGCGCGCCCCAAGGGACGGAGGCGTCGCAACTCCGGGAGCGTCTGCCCGGCTCGGCCCCCAAGGCTCCGACTGGAGCGCGCGGGCCGGAGCGGCGGGGGAGGGGACCCCGAGGGAGGGCCGAAGAAGCTGCGCCGACCGACGCCGGCCTCCTTCCTTCCTCCGCCTTCTTCTTTTCTGCTCGCTCCACGTAGCCAAGTCAGCAACTCCCGCGCCGCAGGACTCCCTCCCCCTAGCTGGTAGCCTTACCTGGTGCGTTGCCCCCCGGCCCCGACCGGGCGCGCTCCGCCCCCCCGCCATTCATTTGCTGAACTTCCCGCCCCCATTGTAGGGCGGGGGCGGAGGGGTAACTCTAGCCTCTCCCACTAACTGCACCCCCAACTGCAGGCGCTCAGCGGCAGACCCCCGCCGCGCACTCGGGATTCCCACCCAACTCATCCAGGGTTCACCTCGGCGCCCTATAATTTTCGGGACCCCGGTGGGCTACCCCACACGTTGCGTTGTCATTTTGCCGCCCTTCTCTTTCCACTTGAAAAGCTCTGGGAAAGATCGCGGGGCGAGCAAAACCCATTAAGTATGGACTGCCTCTCTTTAGTGCATCAATTCCTGAACTTTCCAGTAGGCACAAAGTTTCTCCCAGCTCAGCCTTTAACTGCAGGCTGCAAAGAAGGAAGAGCCGAGTTTGCTGCTTTCTAGAAAGGTGCATTCCTTTCCACTTCGAACTTTAGGATGAAGTGGTCTGCAGACCTAAGCGTGTGCGACTGGGCACCCCGCGTTTTCCATATCCACGATTAGAAATTTCGCTTCCGCTTTCACCGAGTAACTTTGCAAAGCACAAACAATCAATTTTAGAAGAGTAATTAAGGGCGGGGAATGCACACCTGGAGGTGTGGGCGGGCGCGGCGCTGGAAGGCCCCGGGATGGTTCTCAGGGGAGTGGCGGCGACAATAGATTAGCCCAGGTCCGGTAGCAGCGCCCAGTCAGTGGGGAGCTCTCCAGGCGCGTCTACGCTTCCAACCTCCCTCGCTGGGCTTCCCAGGATTTCCGGAGTGCTGGGCATTCCTTACCTCGCGCTCCACCGCCAGGCCCTCCGCACATCAAAGAAGTAGCTGCTGAGACGTGTAGTGAACCCTCGCCTGCAACCTCAGTAGTAAAGCAGAGGAGACTCTGCAGCTCTGATACAACCACACCTAAGAAAAAAATGCAGAATAGCGAGGGAGGGCTAGAGTAATGGTGGTCACTCGATAATCTTGGGCTTGTTAGAAGCGAGAGGTCACCATAAACTGCGGTGCAAGGGCCGGGCCTAGAAGTTTGGCTGAATTTGTCTTGTGGTTTCCACAGGATGTTCAGGCAAAGGCTGCTAGTCAATGACTATCTAAGCTGTTTCCTTTCTAAAACAATCTATCAAATCCCCCTTTAAAAAAAAAAAAAAAAAAAAAAAAACTTTAAACCACTGTTTTCTATCCTACCAATTTATGATTTATTTTACAATTACCCCCATAAAATAGTAATATGTTCATGCAGAGAGCAGGAATGCATATATGTACACTCTGTCGTGCTGAGATAAGGAGAGGGATTTATAAATGTTCTATCAAGACAAAAAGGGAAATGCTCTCTATAAAATCCAAGTAGTGATATAACAGCAAGAAGGCTACTGAAGAGGATTTCATTCCAATCATAACTCTTCCCAACACAGAAAAATTACTTATCTAAATTTCCTGTCGCTTTCCAACTGTACTCCTACTTACTTTTTATTAACTGTTGGCTTTCTCAATACCAATACTTCTATAAATAAGGGGAAATATTTAAAAATTTTAAGTGGCTAAATCATGATCATATTATTAATTATACTAACAATTGTTGTTCAATATTTTTATTTAAAATTATTTCAGTGTTAAGTACAAATGAGTTTCTTGTTTACTACCCAACTTGAATATTTTCCAATGTGTAGATTTTCTCTCTTACCTTCTCAAGGAATAGAGCTGCTTCTGTTTTATTATCTATTACTGCCTTAACTACTCTGTGGTCCTTTCTAAGGTCAAATGGGGAGTTCTGTCCACACAAGTCACATATATTCAAGAGCTCTGCACTATTTGCTTTGATACACTTCAGTCCCTCTATTTGGTATACTGTGGCCTAAATTGAAATGGAGAACAAATGCATGGTCAACCTGGACACACCTTTCTTCCTAACAAGTATGCGCGTGTCTGAATGAACCTGCTCTGCAGCCATTCTTAGGTCAATAACTTCAAAATAAAATGTAAGTTGTATGCCCAGCATAAAGGAAGATAGAAAATGAAATCAATGACAAATCCAGTGTGGTACAGAGATTAATCCATCAAAACTAGTAGTCCTAAATGCTTTGATTTTTCTCTTTATAATTTCCAAAATAGAAACATCTTGTTTTACTTTATTATGAGATTATCTACCATTATAACTTTGATGCATAGGCTGATCATCTCTTTGATGCCCAGAGAGAAAAAAAATACCAAAGGAATCAGATTCTATGTATAAGATATTTTAAATCTGATTTTTCAACTAATAATACAAAATAAAAACTCCTATGTTAATATATATTTTTATCTATATTGAATGGTTGGACAGTATTCCATTATAGGTATGTATTACAATGTATTTAAGCAGTTCCCAATTGTTGCACATTATCTTGCTCATAAGAGTGAAAAGCATAAGGGTTTAAGCACAGCATTGTGAAGATATCTGCAGCTTCTGCAACACGAGTTCCATACCCGGCCAGCCACCACATGGCGCAGCAGACCTCTCCTGTCTGGCCTGCTGCTCCCCTCAGCAGTGTATTTTGTCAGTCTGCCTGTTCTGGTCCTCACTCTCTCTCTCTCTGGTGAATCTTCTCACCCCACCCCCTGCACCTCTGGCCTGTACACCCCAGTTCTTGTATGCATAAATAAATAAATCTTTCTTTAAAAAAAAAAGAGTAAAGGGCCTCCCCTGGTGGCGCAGCGGTTGAGCGCTGGGCTGCGAGGCTGCTTGAAGCCTCTGCTGCACTGGTTTGTTCCCCCACCGCCGGCGAGGGTCCCACAAAAAAAAAAAAAAAAAAAAAAAAAAGGAGTGAAAATTGGAAGGTGTGATCAATATCACTGTACATTAATAGGTGTATACTTAGCTAGGCACTTTGTCAAGATAAGTTAGTCAGCAAGCTACGCCCTGTATTCATATGATACTGAAAGTCAGTGTATTCGTTACCTGTTATTACATTAAGAAATTACCCCAAAACTTAGTGGCCTGAAAAAACAATAATCATTATTTCCTATGGTTTCTATGGGTGAGAAATTCAGAAACACCAGGGACAACTTGCCTGTGTTCTGGACACCTTATCTTAGCTAGAAGACTGGAAGTCTTCAGGTTGCAATTATCTGAAGGCTTGATCATTCACTCATATTTCTAGTTGTGCAGTAGTTGATGCCAGGCCCCAACCAGCTGAGAGCCTCACCTCTTCATGCCATCATGTCTGAAACAGAGAGAGAAACATGAGAGAGAAAGATTGATTCAAAGGGAGGGGGCTTATAGCCCATTTCTATGGAGGAGTATTATAACAATAGCATGTGGCATGGATCACATTCTGCTACTACTGCCTTTGGAAAACCTATCTGCCCCAGCCAGTAGTAGTACATTTAACATCTATCAACAAAGTGAATGCCACCACTCTGAAAATATGGATACCATGATGTGCTTCTTTAATGTCTTCACCTTGCCATTTAGTCTGAGTCCCTTTCTTGGACAGTCATCCTAGTGCTTTCTGTCCTCACCTTTGTCTCTTATCCTCCTCCAGCAATGTTTCCCTAGATTTGTTTCTTTAAATGACTTCACAGAACCACAGGCCCAAAGACAGTTGGTGCTGTCAAAGATGAGAAAAAATATTTTCAGTCAAATGAAGAGAATTTTAATGCAAGATATTTTGAGTAGAGTTTACATTAATGTCTTAAAGGATACGATAAAGCTTGTCAGCATATTAATATTATCTAGTGACCCAGGGAATTCAATTTGTGAGCATTTCAGGTTGAAAAATTGGCTGTCACTGCCTTTGGCTTTATTATTTGTTCAGAGGGTTTGCTGGTCATGCCAGTTCTCATTTCTTCCCCATGTTCTGTCTGGCAAAAAAAAAACCTTTGA